GGCCGATACACGTGTCATCTTTTTAAGCTCTTCTTTCGTAATCTGCTGGATTTTCAACATAATTATTGAAAAAAATGTTTATTGTAGCACAGTTTTATTCAAAGAACTTTTAAAGAACACCCAGCGTCCACAAAACTTAATTTTTGCAAAAGACTTCCAAAGAGGAAATATTGTGATTTTTAGTTCATTGCTCAAGGAAGTCTCAAGCCGTGGATTGCTGGTGAACTTTAAGGGCCCTCTTTGGGGAAAAATATATTAGTACATTTATTATTACTTAACAAAAAAATAAATGCGTATACATCTTGACGCCTAATTTGTTACTCATACGCCAATGTGTCCCATTTTCCATTTTTATATTTTTTTGTTAAAAAAAACAATTAAATATTATAAAATTATATTTTAGAACTAATTACAGACAAAAACTCGAACCCTTTTGAAGTTCATTCAAACGTTTGCTTTTTCCCAAAAATCCAAGCAGCTGTAAATGCCATTGATTCCAAAGAAATCCAATCAGACATTTTCAATAATTCGCCTTAATTAGATAATTCAATTAGAATGTCTGCAATTGGTGTTTGCCTTAGTTCTGTTCTGCTTTTCTCTCTCTCTTTCTAAATGTTCTTTTTTGTGTTACTTCTCCTTTTGCCATAATTGAATAATTCAAATTCCTAGAAATTGTCCTTTCAACTTGAAATGGAATTCTGAACTCCATCCTCTTGATTTTCATGTTTTGGAATTCTTTAACATTTAAAGCTCCCTCCGCCTCAGGGCCTATGGAAATAATCATTTTCGCCATAACAAAGAAACGCTGTAATTAAATGACGACGAACGCAATGTGTAATGTAATATTATTAAATTAATTAATTATTATTATTTTTTGTTTTGTTTAACTGGAGGGTTAAACTACAATGAAGCATGAAGCTGTGATTCGCTGGAATTCAATTACATAGTTCAGGATTATTGGGGAAAGGTGGCGGGAGGGGGAGGGCAAATGGAGAGGTTATTATTGAGAAATGGGTAATTAAAACAAATATGGAAATAATTCTCTATGGAGGGGCATACTTGGAAATTTCTATATAAAACCCCCACAAGGGGGGTCAGATTTAAATCAATTTTTAAGAATAAGGCCTAACACATGCCTTTTGCCCCAAACCAGTGAATTTTAAAATTTCATTACAAATTCAATTCAAATTTGTCCCTGATGTAATAACACATGTTGTGCCCCCCACGCGCAATATTGCCTTATTAGGGCAAGAAATGAAGCATACCGTGTAGGCGCCTCTTAAAAAGCAATATCACTGCAAGGCACCTTCCTCTCTTTTTTGGTTTCGTTTTTCTCTTTTGTACAATATTTTGAGAATTTTCATATGAAAATCATAAGAGCAACACATGTGGTAATGATTTTCCATGGCAGTACTATATTTGTGAAATATATTTCTGGAAGCTAGATAAGTACTTGGGAGAATCGTAAAAAATAAATTGCCTGATTATAATCTAATATTTACCAGAAGTCGCAGAAGTGTATTAAATGGAAATTTATTTGTGTGCGTCTTTTGGAATATCAAAAAAATTGGTAATGGGGAATTTTTCTTTCTCACAAAGAAACTACCAATATTGTTTGGATATTTATGGAAAAAGTCAAGAAAATATTGCTTATTAACAGACATTTCATTGAATAGCCAGCCTATGGAGCTATTGAAAATTATTATTAATAGGAAATGCTATTTAAGGGCTTTTTCGGGCGAAATGAACATGTTGTTTGTGACATGAAGTGTTTTGGGGAATAATTTCAATTAAATTGAAATCATAGAAAATGGTGGCGTATGACTACCGTCAAAACGTATACGCTATAGTGGTGGCCACAAAAACACTGTCTCAGTTGTGGAAACTAAAATATTTTAAAAAGCCTTCAAAATACGAAATATTTTTGCAAGCTTCATCCTGAGTGTTATGCTGGATTTGTTTTTTATTTTCCATTTTTATTTTTTTTTTATTTGTTTATTTTATATATATATTTTTGTTTATTTGTTTTTTTTTATATATATATATATATATATATATATATATATATATATATATATATATATATATATATATATATATATATATATATATTTATTTATTTATATATATATATATATATATATATATATATATATATATATATATATATATATATATATATATTTATTTATATATATATTTATTTATATATATATATATATATATATATATATATATATATATATATATATATATATATATATATATATATATATATATATATATATATATATATGTATATATATATATATTATTTGGATGATCACCCACCTATGATGTCTTTCAAAGATATTTCCAACTCTAAACGTGGGTTTCTTTAAAAAAAATATTTTTCCAAGGACATTTAAGGACATCCTATCTATATTTTATTGTCACGGAACTATGAAACATTATAAGTGAATTTTTAGGCATATTTTTGGTAGGAACTGCAAACCGTCTTCTAAGCCATTGAAAGGGAATTTTTTAAATCAATATTTGGCAGGACCTTCGAGCCATATTTTTAGACCCTCAACCATAGTATGGAGGGTATATTAAGTTTGTAATACCGTTTGCAACACCTCGAAATATAAATTTTAGACCCCACTTAGTATATGTATTCTTGATCAGCATAAAATTCTGTGTCGAGTTACCGATGTCCGTCCGTCTATCCGTCTGTAGAAGTCACTCTAGCTTCCGATCGAAATGAAGTAAGTTGATAAAATTTTACTCGAATATGCACTTTCGGTTGGCCACCAGAACTCAAGCCGGCCATGGTGATGGTGTGGGCCGCCATAACAACCGATTGTCGCTCTCCGCTGGTATTAATCGACCGTGACATCAGAATAAATTCCGAATATTATCGCGAAATCATTCTGGAGGGTGTATTAAAGACATGGGCACGCAAACAATTTGGCCACAGTCTTTGGACATTCCAACAGGACTCAGCTCTATCGCACTCAGCACTCGCCAACCAGGAATGGTTACAAAATGAGGTTCCTCGCTTCATTTCCAGCGCACAATGTTTATAAAAATCTCCGGATACCAATCCGTTGGACTATTGTGTCTGGAGTATTTGGGAAAGCATGGTTGGCACAAAAAAAAAAATACCAAAGTGTTGATCACCTCAAGAAGACTCTTCGCCAGGAATGGGCCAAAACACCGCAGAGCAACATTCGGGCAGCGTGTGACGGACGGTTTCATTGGCCGTTTGAAGGCCATAATTCGTACCAAAGGTGACTAATTCGAACAATTCTATGCTTATTTGAAAATTTGATGCTTTTTCCGACATTTTTTGCTTTTATTAAAAAAAATGTAAAAATTATGGCGTTTGACTATGTTGCCGTGTTTTTATTTCACCCGTAATCATATAAAATATTTTCCAAAAAATTGTTCTCCTTAATAACCAACTTTCCACGGCGGCGTATAAGTATCACAATTTATTTTAAGTATATTTCCAATAAATAAAAATTAACAAGAAATATCCTGATTTTTGAGTGTTTAAAAGTTTCATAAAAATTCCGCGTCTTCTTATCCTGTAAAAATTTCCTAAAAATTGCTTATTTTATTTTTTTTTTTTTTTTGTAATTAAAAACATGTGCCAATGTTCTTTCAAAATTTCATAAAAATCTTCTATTGATGTCCCTAAAATCCGGTTTTTGCAGCTGCTATATTTTATTGAAAATTCTTTTCTTAATACGTGGTATAGTCCCTTAAAAAATAATTAAAATATCTTTAAACATTCCTTCCTCTCTCTCTAACTTCTTAACATTTCATTTTGAAAATTCCGTTAAGAATTCACATTTTCTTAGTTTGTCTAAATATTTTTAAATTTCCTAAAGAAATGTATTTATGTGTTAAAATACCTTAAAATTCTCTATGTTTTATTCTATGGAAATATTTTCTTGAAAATACTTTTCTAAAGAAGACTTTTAATTATCCACGTATCGCCACCCTTGGATGTCCTTTAATAAAATGCCTCGTTATCTCTATACAAAATAAAATAAGTTTAAATTTTTTTTTTTTGCTAAATAATCAGCTTTCCACGGCAGCATATGAGTATCAAAAATACTTTCATGTATGTTTCCAATAATTAAAAAAATAACAAGAAAAACCTTGAATTTTGAACGTTTAAAAGTCTTTAAAATTACCTCTTCTTCAACCCTAATGAACGCATTGAAAAAACCCTTTTGCAGGCTTTTAGTATTTAGGGTTTTAAATGTTTATATGTATCTCTAACATTATTTAAAAAAAAAATATTTTCCTAAGTTGATCAAATTTCCTAAAAAAATTGCCCATTTTTTGGTGCTGTAAAAATTTGCTATGTCTTTTTATTTATTATTATTTGTGCTGTCTTATTATTTAAAAAAATTCTAAAATATTTGAAATTGTGCTTTCAAGATTTCCTATCAAAATTTATTAAAAATTCACGTATTGCGGCTTTAGATTGAAAAAATCCCATGTAAATAATTAAAAATATTTTCGACGAAATCTCCTTCTTTAAAACACATAGGAACACCACGGGATAATAACCAAGAAGCTTTTAAAGTACCCTTTAGCCTTTTCAATTTTCCAAAAAAATCCCAGAAAATATAAAAATATATAATATATATAAAATATATATATAAAAATATATAAAATATATATATGAAAAATTTTCCCCCTAAAAACTTTTACTTTACAATCAAATTTCCCCATTCGCGTATTGGTAGCATTAATTATCCCCAAAAAACTTTTGCTTTACAACCAAATTTCCCCCATTGGCGTATTAATATCATCATTACGTATACGACACATTACCCCCCAATCATGTATTCAACAATCATACGCCCCATGTCATGAAATAAATAAAATTAATTATACGTCACATGAACCCCACAAAATAACAACCAATTGCCTTTGATTTTTCAAATTCATCTAGACAATAATAATATTATTTACACACAAATCTGAGTATACAAATATCTAATTTACCCAAAATGTATTTTTAAACCAATTTTAAAATCGAAAGAATACCAAATTAAATTGTGTTTTATTATCCGCATCATCATTATTGTTATACTTCAGAGCGTTGACAACAAAGATCCCCACAAAAAACATGTGAAGGTTGGTATGTCATTCAATTATTATTTTTATTTTCGTTTTTGTTATGGTTACCGATTTCAAAGACCCAACGCATAAAGTCAGCCTAGGTAATTCACTTGTCATTACATTTTGATTTGCTTACAGGCAAAAAGAAGGAAGAACACACACGAATATACTTAAATCAGATTTTTTTCTTTGAAATTTGTTCCGAAGAGAAAAGAAGAGGAACACATAAAGCCTTACTCCCATTACCTACATACATATATTGCCATATAAATAATGTCGTCGTCGTCCTCCTCCACCTCCCCCACAAAAATAACATTTATTCAAGCAATTTAATTAAAAATAAAAATATAACATTATTCTTTTCTCTCCTTTCAGTCTTTGTTGTTGTTGCTGTTGTGTGCAGACAATGATGATCTAACATTTCATTGCTGGCATATTTTTAGGCTCTGCGCTTGTATGGGTGTGTGTGTGTCTGTGTTTTATTGCATAAAATAAACATTTGTGACATATGTTAGGCAATGCAGAAGAAGGACAAAAAGCAAATTAAAATAAAATATGAATAAAACATTTGTGATTTGTGAATTGTATTTTGTTTGCGGTCGGTTCTCTTCAAAAGGATGTTGTGACGAATCATATGATGAGGGGTAATATGAGGCCTAAAAGTAGGCTTTAGTTTTTTTTATTTAAATAGAGTTGGATCCTTGATATGAAAATTATCATTTAGAGGCCTTTGAGAATAGCTTAAAAATTCAGTTCTAAATCAATTTTTGGAAACGCCACCAAGACGAGGGGTTTTAAGGGTTTTCGTATAACCGCCATATAACGGTACCTGCCGATATTCGGTATTTTGATGATTTTAGCGACATTATTCACCGGAATTGTTTCAAATTTGGTATTTGAAGTTCGTAATGGATACTACAGCCTAAGACAGAAAATTGTCTGTGCAGGACCACGTCTTCGTATTGCCCCTACATAACGATACCTCCCGATATTAGGTATTTTGGTGATTTCAGCTACTTTATTCACCGGAATTGTTTCAAATGTGATATTTAAAGTTCGTAATGGATACTAAAGCCTGTGACGAGAAATTGTCTATGCAGGTCCACGTCTTCGTATAGCCCCCATATAATGCTGCCTCCCGATATTCGGTAATTTGATTATTTACCGGAATTGTTTTAAATTAGGTATTTGAAGTTGGTAATGCATTCTACAGCCTATGCCAGAAAATTGTCTGTGCCGGTCAACGTTTTGGTATAGCCCCCACATAGCGCTACGCCCGATATTCGGTATTTTCGTGATTTAAGCGACATTATTCACCGGAATTTTTTCAAATCTGATATTTGAAGTTCGTAATTGATACTACAGCCTATGACAGAAAATTGTCTGTGCAGGTCCACGTTTTGTATAGCACCCATGTAGTGGTTCCTCCCTATTTTCGGTATATTATTCACCGATTTTTGTTTTTCAAGTTTCGCTTTTGAATATTGTAATTGCTTATGACAAAAGTTGCCTATGCAGGTCCACCTCGTCGTATAGATCCTAAAATGACGGCTGTTTTCAGTATTTTGTAGATGTGAACAGAATTTTTAACGGGATTTTTTTATTTATTTAATTATTTTATTATTATTATTATTATTATTATTATTATTATTATTATTATTATTATTATTATTATTATCATTATTATTATTATTATTATTTTTTTTTTTTTTTTTGAAAATTGCCATATTCGTTCCAAATGGTGGAGGGTATTCAAAGTTCGGCCAGACCGAACTTACAGCTTTTTTACTTCTTAAAATTGTATTTTTCTGATTGCAAGGACACAAATTCTTTAATCTTGCTGAACTTACATTAAAGCATAGCCTTTGGTTTAGGTTTAAACATTTATAGGGCACGCTTAAAACTGTGCCTCAAATATATTAATTATAAATTATTAGGAAATCACTTTATATATGACTCTAACACGATGTGGCAACTAGCCTTGAGCTATAAAAATATATTTTCTTACTTTTTTCAAAAACTTAAGTTATCTATTCACTCTCTCTCCGCTCTCCCCCGAAAAGTACGCTCCGCTTTTCTCATTATTAAAATTTCAATATCATTGTCTATTGTTAGCGCACAAGTTCTGAAAGTATCATTGCTGCTTCAAACTAAAGACCATTTAAGTCCCTTTCCCAGCTGTTTGTGTCATACAATTTTAATGGTATTCCGAAAAAAAAGGAACAGAAAATCAGTTTCTATTTCTTCAGTTGTGAAAAACACAGAGAGAAAGAGAGGAGAAAAAAACAGAACTGATTATTTTGTTGCCTTGCTATCTGCATGGCATTGTGTGTTGCGCTTCTAAATTCTGTGAAGAACTGAAACCAGAAAACTTTCTTGTATTTGGACAAAAAATCACAAAAAGTGTTTAAAAGTTTGTGTTTTTTTTTCGTTTCCAAGTGACATTTTAGTTTTCCTTTTTTCTGGGTATGCAAAAAAAAAACAGAATAGCTGTAAAGTTTGTTGCATTGTTCAGTTGTCATTCTGTTGGCGAACTCTTCAAAGCGTTAGACTTCAATAAGACATCAAGGTAGGAAAAGTTCCCAAACAAGGAACAATAGGAGGGGCTTGGGAGTAGTAGAATAGGGGAAAAAAGTGAGAAAACTTTGGGAAAAAACAATGCAAAACCCACTCAAGCCAAGGTTGCAGCAGAGAGATAAGGGAACAATAGTTAGGTATAAATTGTTTGAGAAGTCAAACCAAGGAATTTTTGGAGATATCTTCTACAAAGTCAAACGCCATAATTTTTACTTTTCTATATCCTCCACCATAATTTGGAGGGTATACTAAGTTTGTCATTCCGTTGGTAACACCTCGAAATATACATTTTAGACCCCACAAAGTAAATATTTTCCTGATCAGCATAAAATTCTAGGTCCACTTAGCGATGTCCGTCCGTCTGTCCGTCTGTGGAAATCACTCTAGCTTTCGAATGAATTGAAGTAAATTGATAAAATGTTACTCAAATGTATATTATGTCTGCAGGACATTTGATATTGCAAATGGGCCATGTATGTCCACGTCTTCGTATAGCCCCCGATATTCGGTATTTTGATGATTTTAGCTACATTATTCACCGATTTTTTTTCAAGTTTCGCATTTGAATATTGTAATGGCTTATGACAAGCGTTGCAGGTCTCCGTCGTCTTATAGACCCTAATATAATGACTATATTCGGTATTTTTAAAATTTTAACAAACATTTTTTTGGTTTTTTTTTTGGAAAATTGCCACGTGCTTTCCAAATTGTGGGGGTATTTAAAGTTTGGCCCGGTAGAACTTACATCTTTTTTACTGTTAAAGAAAGTTTTACATTTTTTAATAAATCGTGAGTTGTTTTAAAAAAATTTTAACTATTAACTGGTCGTGAATATTTTTTAAATATTTTTTTCAAAATTTTTTATAAAATTTATTAAAAACTAAACTTTTACTGTTTTAAATTATTTAAAAAAATATTTTCTTTCAATTATGAAACAATCGTAAAGGTTTAAATTTTTTTTTTTCAATTAATATTCTCTATTCCTTTCAAAAAACATTTTTCAAATTTTAATTTAAATATTAATTTTTTTACAAAGATTTGTGAATATTTAAATTATATTATTTTTTTTTTTTTCAAAAAATATTCCAATTTTTTATAATATGTAATTATGTTTTACAAAATTTTTTAAAATACTAGTTTTTAATACATTTTTACTTTTTTAATTTTTAAAAAAATATTTTTTTTTTTCAATTATTAAACAATCAAAAAACAAAAAACAAAAATTTTAAAAGATTTTTTTTCCAACTATGTTCTCTATTCCTTTTGAGTTTTAGTTATTTTATTCGCCATTTGTCTTAAATTATTTCTACTTTAGATTTATTAAATTGACCTCGAGCTCAATTTTAGCAAACTTAGAGTTGAAATAAAATATTTATAAACTTAAAAAAAAAATATTTTGTCATTTATTAACAGTTCGTGAACTTTTTTTAAAAAATATATATTTTTAATAATTAATTCGTCTGGCATTTTTTAAAATATATATTTTTTTTTCAAAAAATATATCGAAACTGTTTATAAAAAATATTTTTTTAAAAAAATATTCCGAAACTTTTCATAAAAAAATATTTTTTTCATTTATTAACAACGCATAAATTTAAATAAAAGTTTTTCAATTACTAATCCGTTGTAATTTTTTTTTAAAATATTTTTTACAAAATTTATTTAAATTTTTTAAATATTTATTTTTTTTTTTAATATTTTCTTATTTAATAAATTGTATTTGTTTCAATTATAAACCATACGTGAATTTCTAATTTTTGTTTCTAAAAATATTCTATTTTTTTAAATATTTTTTCATCTAGACGTGATTTTTTTAAATTTTTTACTTCCAATTGTGAACCCCTTCACGATTTTTTAAACATATTTTTCCTTTTCACAAATATTCCAAAATGTTTTCTGAAAATATCGGAATTTTTAACGGTTGCTTTTTTTGGAAATTTCCAAATTCGTTCCAAATGTTTTAAAAAAAAAAAAATTTCAATTATTAACTTGTCGTGAATTTTTAAAATATGTTTTTCAAAATATATTCCAATTTTTTTTTAAATATTGTTTCAATTATTAATCACTAGTGAATTCTTTTTCTTAATAATTTTTTCATTTCAAACAATTAGTTTGTAATAAATATTTACTTTTTTAAAATTTTTTTAAAAAAATTATTTAATTATTAAACAATCGTTAAGGTTAAAATGTTTTCTGAAAATATATTTTTTCAATTACTAACCTTTCGTGAATTTTTAAATATATATTTTTTCATAATTAAAAAAAAAAACAAAAAAATTAATATGATCTGATTCTAGTTTCTAGGATAAAGAGTCTTTTAAATATGTAGTTTTAAAAGAGTTTTTTTTTTTTTATTCAAGGCATCAAAAGGCCAATAAACATGGACTTTTATGGATTTATTTTTACCAAGGTCCATCAGGGCAAAATATTATTTTGTAATTTTTATTGTCCGGGAGATAATAACTTACCTAAGGAGGAACTGCAAATTTGCGAGATTATTAAAAAAAATTATTTTCAAGGTATACCTGTAAACGTGGATTAAAAAAAAAAAAACGTAATTCAATTTCCACTTACCTAACTTTAATTCTTGCCCTATCTGACTCTTGGTACATGGTGTAGTATGAGTGATGACAGCAATTATACGCCTAAATCTCATAATTAAATTTCTACCTTACTAACTTGACTCTTTTTCGTTAACATCCCAGCACAAGTAAATCCAAATTTATGTTCTTTAATAATTCCTATTTTCACAAAATTTAAGAATGCCCATTCCCTCGAATTGTTTCCCAAACGAAATAAAGTCATTACTCCCACACTACCGAGCCCACCTCCCCGCACTTGCCATTAAATGCTCGTATAATTTTCCAGTAATTTAATTACAACAATAAAAATGAATTTCATCTGTGAGAAATTAAGAAAAAACAGAGCAACAACAACAAACGGTAAACAGAATTGTCAAATTAATTTAAATTGAAATTACAATAAAGCATAAAATATGCAAATATTGTTG